CACGCTGGTGTCCTCGTGGGTCCAGGAAGGGAGCGTTGAGGGATCTCCGTGCTGCCGAAGATGCGAGCTACCGGACCTGCGGTCCGGATGAGAACCGCACCCGTTACACGGCAGTTGGGCCAGGATGCCGGGCCGTCTAGTCCCTTCAAGCGCCGTGGGCAGAGAGAAGCATGAAGCCGCTGAAAGAAGCCGCCGCCCCTCGCGCCCTGGACCGGAGAGGGGAGTGCGTGTGGCTGCCGGACTCCACCCCTTACCTGTACCCTTCCTTCCCGAACACTGCCCCACCTTCACGAACCCTGCAGCACGGCGAGGACACCAGATCCCCTGTTTATTTTACTATTTCCCCTTTGGACATTTTATTTCCTGTTCTTGTTATTTTTCTGTTAATAAAAGCCTCTCCGAGGCCTGACGCCACACCCACTGTGTCTGTCGTTTGCTCCTCCCGCCACAATATATACGGTGTATATATATGGATTATTGCCTTTGTTTTGTGTATGAATGTGTACACAATGCTACAATACTACTTATAGGATAAAAATAACACCATACTGGACGTACTATTTTTTTTTTTACTGCTAGTTTTTTCATTTACTCCATTTGTCTCCATTGTCCTACCACATGGTGTCAAGCACATAGAACGGTTGTAAAATAAGCTGCAATTGGTTTTAAAATGACAAACTGCCTTTCTTCTGTCTGAAATATTATTATTGTTTAATCAAATTATTTTTAATCCAAAGTGAATGATCTAAGAGCCTGTCTTTTGCAACATTATTACGTTATGGATTTTTGGTTATGGTCCTCACACAGGACCATAATAAGGGGTTTAAGGTGAGGCTGTGTTTCATAGTGGGTTCAGAGTCTGTGTGTGTGTTTTTATTTCAAATAATGCCCTGTCAATCTCAGTCCTTCAAAACACTCCACCGGCTCCTAGAGAGGCGTGAGGTACAACAGCTGCCAGGAGGCATACGTTGCTCCACTCATACACATGCATGTAAAGACAAACAAACACACACCCAAACCTGCTCAAGACTGAAAAGAAAGTTTTGGCATGCACACAGTTTCTGTGCATGCTATGATCATATCTGTGGTATGTGCTGCTGCTTTAGTCCCAGAAGCATATGGTGAGTGTTTAATAGTGCTAGTTAATTTCTGGGCAAACATTCTGTGTGTTGGATTGAAGGCTCTGTCTCCTGCCATTTAAATTGACCTGTAGTGGTGGTGTAGTCCTCAGGCTGGAATTACAGACAGCACAGGTTTTCTAAAGGCTAACTGTCCTTCTGTTATAGTTCTAACATTTGACATGCATTGTGTTCTTTGAAAGAAAGGTCCTACAAGTATTCTGCATCTTTTGGAGGGGTAAACACTCCCTAAAGCGATAGTTCACCCAAAAGCAAAGCTCTGTCATCATTTACTTACCCACATGCCATTTAAAACCTGTGTGACTTTCTTTCTTGTTTTTTTGTTTGTATTTTGTTTTTTTGGACTTTTATTATTTTGATTAGGATTCAGAGAAAAAACGAAGAAGGACATATCAAATAGAAATTCACATTTCACTGAAATATTTTACTTTGGTAATATAGTTTGTAAAAAAGTATTTTTTTTTCTCTAAAGGATCCCAGTGTGTATCAAATCACCACCGCTTTTTGGACTTCACTTAATCTCAGAGCAGTACACAATAACAAGCATTTAGTTTGTAATGTGTAATGTTTGATAGCCTTTCTTAGAAGTTTAGAAGTGACTGTGTTGTTCAACGTTCGGTGTCAGAGTTCCTGTGAGGACCTGGTTTTAAACTGGAAGTAGGGTAATGGCTTCTGGGGAGACAGCATGAGTGCATTGTGAAAGGTAGGACAGCAGTAAGAGAGATGGTTTATGGTCACGAGTAAAAGGACATGTGAGCCTTGTTATCCACAAACACAGAGCCCATATTGTTCTTTTCAGTATGTGGAATGGGAAAGTTTGTGTACGTGTGTGTCTGTGTGTACTCACAGATATTTGCTGTGCCCTTGGGGATGGGGAGATAGGATCCTGCACTCCAAGCTCTGGCCTGATAATTCCTCTTACAGCGGCCACAGTCAGGCCCCGTGGTGTTGTGCTCACACTCGCAAGTCAGTCTCTCTTTGTCATAGATGCAGCTGTTGGCGTGAAGGTTGCACTTGCACCTGTCACGGTGAAAAAAAAAAAAAAGAGAAATAAGAAATAAAACATATGCCCTTGTGGATTTTCAGTCGTGGAGTTCAATTACACCCGTGCGGGAGAAAAAATTGGAACCAGCACTTAGAGACCAGAGTGACCTTGTAAATCATTTGCATTTCAAGTAAACGTGCATCTGCATGTGGAGGTATTCTGAAGCTTCCAGAAAGTGACTTCAAAACCTTGCACATGGTGTCAAGGATTCTGCAAAATCCACATCATTATTTTTCTGTTTTTTCTTTCCTCTCGAAAGATAGGTTATTTATAATTATCCCACTGGAAAATAAATAATTACATACAGGTCACACCTTCAATGAGAGAAAGAAAACAGTTAAATAATATAAAAAATTAAGTGCTGAATATTTGGCATATATGTTGCAGACTTTGATTATTTACAGAATTTTTGCTATATATATTCTATTTAATAGCAATAAATCCTGAAGCACTTGTGAATGTTTTTAATCCTTAGAGGCAGTCATGTTTTAAATGTTTTGGTAATACATTCAGTATGGCCACTAAGGACAAACCCCATGCAAGCATTTGTCTCACATACACACTATGCAGGGAGGTTTGCTCCCCTGTTTCTTCTCTAAGCACGGAAATTGATTTTGTATGCAGGAAGGCAAAAGATGGATATTTCTGTGGCACACATGCAGTACTGACAAAAAAGAAATGTGATGCAGTTATGTGAAACTGTTGTACAGCTAGAATAGAGTAGCTTAACATGTTTATATGTGTGTCTGTTTTTCAGTTCAACTGTGATTCTTGCTCCTAATTTAAAAATAAATTGACTGTCAGTTGCACAAATATTTTTTTAACTCATTTACTGAATAATACAATTGTCTTTAACTTCATCTGTATCTGTATCTTTGACTACTATAAATCAGTGGTTCTCCACCTTGTTTCCTCAACATGATTATGTATGTGATTAAGTGTGACTCCAACAAATCAAGGGAATACAAAAATAATAATAAAAATGGAAATAGAAAACTGAATTTATACATATAAATGAAGGATGAAAATGAATACTTGGCCCAATTGCCTCTAATGTAAATGTATTACTATAAATATTTTACATTATTATTATAGCTGAAATAATACCTTGTGGTAATAAACATCAAGTCACATATGTCGTCTATAGAAAAAACCAAACTGAATTCCTTTAAAGTTGCACCGCATCATTCTAACAGATTAAAGTAACACTTTAAAAAAATCAAAAGCTGATCAGTCGCAAGTCTTTGATCTAACTTTTTCCAGACTGAGGCTCCTCACGGATTATGGGCATAACCAGGCTCTTGATGTCTGCCGTCTCTCTTTCTGTGTGGGCACAGAGGAGCATTATTAAAACCATTAAAACCGGTGTGTCCGAAGAGATGTGCGTGCAGGGGCTGATAAATGTGATGCACCGAATCACGTTTGGAAGTGACAAATGACTGCTCAGTCCCCGCAAGTATACACGGGCAGAATAAATGAGAGGGCATTATTCTCCAGACACCCTGATTTGCATCTCATTATCTATAGTTTTTTTATTATTATTTAATTTAACAGAAGGGCATGTCAAATCTCAAGATTCTAGGACATCCTCTTTAAAACTGGCACCTGTCAGCCAAGCATGAATCTGTGAAATGTCAGCAAGCTTGCACACATAAAATCTCCCACCAAATAATGACATATGATGCAAATTAGTCACTGATATTATAGTGGGTCATTAAACCGCATATAAACAGTGAGTAATAGACTTCTGAGACATATTAAAACTACACAAGAGTAAAAACCATAAAACAGGGTGTTTTACAGTGACATGCAACAATTCAAGCAATGAGGTACTTGTTTAGTAAGAACTATGCATTGCAATGAATGGCTCACAAGCCTGAACTAACAAGGCTGGTCCAGTGACTGAACAAAACAAAGCCATCGAGCTGCAAGGAGTAAAAGGCATGCATGGCATTCTGATGAGGCCTCATTGTTCTGTTCAGGTGGAGGTCTCAGATTCCACGCTGCACTCCTTGTAGCTTGACCTTCATATCCTCTTATCACCAGTAACATTTTAATCACAGTGTTGATACGAGGCAGAGCTGTGCTGCTGATGTAATGAAGGGGACACAGCAAGGGCCCGCCGGGTCTCTTTGCCGTCGGCATGGTAGCATTGCTAACAGAAACGAAACATTCTCATTCCAGTCTGGTCACCAGGGGCAACGAGGTGCAATAGCTTCACCTCGAGAAGCGCAGTAAAAAAAAAAAAAAAAAAATTAATTAGACTTTAATGCCAAAGCTGCTCTCCAGGGCTCCACCATAGAAACGGTCTGTCTTAATTTAACCAGGGCTATGCCATATTCACAAACACTACCTTGTTCTGATAAAGGATTACAGTGAATGTGCATGCGCAGTTTGCTTGTGAGTTTCCACAAAAGTCTAATATGTTGAGGGACTGTCCCCTCAAAAAGGACAATTATATCATCAGTTACTCACCTTCATGTCATTCCAAACCTGTATGCATTTCTTTCTTCTGTGGAACATAGAAGATATTTTGAAGAATTTTGGCCGCATCAAATTCCATAGTATGGACAAAGAAAAATACTAAGGAAGTCGATGGAACCTGAAACATATGGTTATCAACATATCAGAAACATACCAAAATATCTTCTATGTGTTTCAAAGAAAAAACAAAAACAAATCATGCATAAACACTGTAAAAATTATTTCGCAGTTTAGTTGTTTCAATCCTTTTTTTTTTAAGTTACAACTATAGGTTTTTGAATAGCAGTAATAATAAATTTTGTCTTCTATAAACAGCCCTGCAATAAGGATAGACACAAATATGTTAAATTTGCTTTTTTTTGTTCTAATTTCATGTGTTATGTCATTTAAAAGCCTCATCTGGATTGTAAAGTATGGCTTTGGTAATTGAAACGTACTTGTCATGACATTTGACTTTCTCTGTAAAGATTTATTTATATATTTATTTTTATTATTTTACAGTGTTGTTTTAACATGTTTCTGTATTTTTCATGTTTATGATATTCTGGAATTACTGAAAATCAGCGCAGAATTCAATGATCTTGTGGATGGACCGCAGCAAGTTCTTTTGCAGTTGTAGCCATCAAAGTGCTATGCAGACATAATGGGAATGACTGTAGAGCTTGGACAAAGTTGTAAGTAAATTTATTTACTTTATAAGTGGACATATTTATTGGAGTCTGTAAGCTTTAAGATTGTAATGCACACTTTAATGCTTCCCTTTGTTTTTATTAAAGCACACAGGTTCTGAGCAGGAATACAGTTGGAATTATAGTTCTGGGTGACCAAAGTGAGCACCATCAATCTGCAGTGATGTGTTCCTGGTAATAGAAGAAGAAATCTAGGTGATCTGGGGCTGTAACACATTGTGGCATTGTGTACTACGTTAGACTATCCAGTAGTGCTGGGTGGTATACCGGTTCATACCGAATACCGGGGTTTATTTTTCATGCATGAAAAAAAAAATACCGTCATGTACCGTGAAACCGGTATAATTTTGAAAAATACTGTGATATAAATTTTTGGTCATACCGCCCAGCACTACTATCCAGGACTTGTCACAGCACTTGAAGGCAAAATTGTTTTAACGTTTTCATTCAAGAAGTTTTTGTTTTTCACATTCATTTACACTTATATATACTTTTCAGGCAGTGCAGTGTTAATATGTGAATGGATAATTCATTAACAAAAAGCTTCTGTCATGTTAACTTGTGCTGAAGTTTATTTAACTCATAACTTTAAGGCAACCATGTAAACTTTTTAGGTAATTGTTATAACAAACTATATGTACAGTAGTTGAGTGAACTTAAATTTGAAAGTTTACTTAATCCCCTTGATTGCTTGAATAAATTGATGCAATATTTAATCCAACATTATGACAACAAAACAATGAATCTTTAAAAAAATAATCTTTAATTCTAAGAACAAAATATTAGTTGAAGCAACAAAATCACTATATTTGTAATAATTGAAATTCTTAGTTTCAATTAACCTTTTTAAGTTAAACCAGGTTTGGAATAACATGAGGGTGAGTAAATCACAGATTTTTTTTTTTTTTTTTTGGTGGACTATCCCTTTAAAGAAATAGTTGGAACCAAAATTCTGTCATTACTCACCCCATGTTGTTCCAAATCTGACTTTCTTACTTCTGTGGAGTTTTATGTGTTGCTGATGGTCCATGATATTCTTTTCTATACAATAATGGCTGTCAAGCTCAAAAATGTACACTTTACTATATTACAAGTCTTCTGAAGTCAGTGCAGTCAAAGACTGAGTTTTGTTATTTACTGAAAATCTTGCCCTCCCCCAAGACCCTTAAATTTCATTCCCACCAGTGTATATTCATTGAAACCTCAAGATGTATGAAGGAATTTTTCACCCAAAAATTTAAAAAGTGTTCTACATCAGGGCTGTCCAAACTCGGTCCTGGAGGGCCGGTGTCCTGCAGAGTTTAGCTCCAACTTGCCTTAACACACCTGCTGGGAAGTTTCTAATATGCCTAGTAAGAGCTTGATTAGCTGGTTCAGGTGTATCTAATTGGGGTTGGAGCTAAACTCTGCAGGACACCGGCCCTCCAGGACCGAGTTTGGGCACCTCTGTTCTACAGAATAAAATGCATACAGGTTTGGAACAATATGATGCCAGAATCTTCTTTTGCGAACTATTCCTTGGAAAAAATGTGGAAATCATTGTGAAGAATTAAATGTGTAATTCTAGTACATGGGTTGTGTGGTCAAACAGATGGCTAACATGATACAGAGAAGAATAATGAAGGAGGTTTTTGTTCAGTCAGCTTTGAGTCTAACAAAAAAGTTTAAAGGCTAAATGTCCTCCTTGAAAGGCAGGACATGCTGTTAATAGTGATTTATTTATTTATCTTTTATTGAAATACTAGCCTGAAGTGCAGAGTCTGTGACCTCCAAAATAATGGAAACCAGATTGACAATAAAAG